CTGATGACGGAGGCAGTATGACCTCTGAAACGTTGGTAAACATTGACCAGACTACACAGCGCAACAACCCATAAGACGGAATTCTTCAAGAAGTGATATTGATTTCTATATTTCCAAACTTTCCAAAAGATCAAGGTTACCATTATAACCACACAAAATTTGACAGGGAAACAACAGCAAAAACAAACTACTTTGGGGTAATGCACAATTCATTTTAGTTTTGCTATGGAGAGAAGTATCAAATAAGAAGTGTCCAAGAAGACAGGTGTTTTGTATTACCATGGCACCCAAGCTACTCAGTGTCTGGGGGTATAGCCAGACCACCTGGCACAGGGGACTGGTCCTCCAAGTTGGGGGTTGGGCAACAGGCTGACAACCTATCCCTGTAAAAAAACAGTTAGGAAACCACAAAAAAAAATGCTGAAACCAAGACCCAATCTGGTCTGTAGTGCACTTGATGATGGTGAATAACTTGGTGTTGCAAATTAGCTTCTTGTTCTAAGAAGTGATTTTATTGGTTAATACTTTCATTGTGTATAGCCAAAGGTGTCCCCACACTACCACTGTCATTTCTGCATTGCTTCTTTGAGTTCAGACCTGTTAGCATGTATTTGTCAGCTTCTGCATTGCTTCTGGGAATTCAGACCTGTTAGCATGTATTTGTCAGCTCTTCTCATATAATTTATGTAACAACCCTGTAAACAGTAAACATTTTCAGTGTGAGAAAATAAAGACTTTACTTTAAAGACTCTGCGGTAAGTAATTGCTTTGAAAAGAAAATATTTGGATAGAAATATAAATCAGTGTAATAACTGAAATGGCACGAAGTTAAGTATTCTGTGCATACTATGAAATATTCATAAAAAATGAAAATGTTTCATATGATCGTTCTGCAAATTTATTTAGTATTGTGTATTTCTTCACTACAGTAGCTGTTTCAATTATGATTTTCTGTGGTATGATTCAAGTTTTTGTTTATTTGAAATTCGGTCAAAAACTTATTTGAATTATTTCAAGTAAATTAATGAAGACCTGATTAATTTATCTTCACTACATGGAGTACCAACCTGAGCTGAGAGAATTTTTGTCATCTTGTATCATTAACCAGACGATAACTAATATAATTATATTGTGGTTTAGAGGGAATTAGTTGTTGGGTCATAGATATGAATACATCAGATGAACCTACAATGTCAGAACTGCACAAACCAAGAATCGATCTCTAGTATTAGGCTATACGCTGTCATCGGCCACGTTCCCATGCCGTTCAGGAATCAGCGATGCTACCGATGGCTATAAGATTTATAATAAATTCTTCTTCAGCTACCAGCCGTGTCAGATGGTTGAAAGATGTAGACTTCGGTGACCTAAGGACGAGGACGAAGATGGTTTTCAAAACGCTGGTTTTTTCATCTATTATCAAACTGACACAGCTGGAAGCCTGAGAAGAATTTATTACACTTAGTCGCCGTAAAAGCTCCAGATTACTCGACTGTAAAATGCCTACCAGTAAGACATGGACAACAGCTCGACTATCATTATGTCGCAGTAAAATGGTCGTCAATGGTGGTTCCTACTGAGTAAAACTTCGCCTTCCTAGACCTACACATTGTAAAAGCCGTTAGGTTAGCTAATCTGAATGCCTATCCTTTTTGCAAATTATAACTGATTATAACAGCTGTTCACTAAGCCATTACAATAGGCGAAAGCAAAGGTGTAACTGATGGACTGCACAAGTTTCAAGTAACAAAATCAATTCATTTAAACACGGTGTACTACGCCAATGCGAAATGAAGTTTCGTTCACTTAAACCTCGAATGATTTAACATAAACTGTAAAAGAGTGCAATTCAAGATAAGTAATTAATTCTTCAGTCATAACATAGCAAATATCAGCTTCAAATTTTGTTCGATAACCGGTGAATTCTTGCAGATAGTCACCTCAAGTTATTCTTTGCAGGAGATTAATTCTTGAGAGGCTCATATTCGCTCGGCTGGCCAAGTAATGCCAAGGCTTTATGAAACAAAGTTTCATTACCATGTTCAGAAGAACCCACCTCTGACTCCTATCCTGAACCAGAAAAATCCAGTTCTTTACAACTTTACCTGTTAGTTGGGGTAGATCAGTCAGTATAATGACTGACCATAGCGTGGATGACCGGGGTTCGTTCCCCAGTGGGGGGCAAAGGATTTTTCTCTAGTCTCTGCGTCCAGACCAGCTCTAGGATCCACCTAGCCTCTCATACGAGGCTCGTCCACAAAGTAAGTTTCCCTGGGGCCGTTTACAGAAACAAAACACAATTTCATGGAAATATTTATTGCAACAGATACAGCAAGTGTCCAGCTATTTTTCAACATATTCGCCACCGGAATTGAGACATTTGTCATACCGTGGGACCAACTTTGGAATACCTGTGTCGTAGAAGTCTGCCGCCGGGGATTGGAACCACTGTGTGACAACCATCTCCGCCTCTCTGTCATTCTCAAAACGCTGACGCTGACCGGACAGGAATTTCGTGAGGTGTAGGAAAAGATGGAAATCACTGGGAACGAGGTCCGGGCTGTAGGGTGAATGATCAAACACCTCCCAGCTGAACTCCTGCAGGAGACTTGCTGTCCGTCGAGCCGTGTGCGGCCTAGCGTTATCGTGCAGGAAGACAATACCGGCACTAAGCATCCCGCGCCGCTTGTTCTGAATGGCCCGTCGCTGAAAATTGTCTGCACCAGCGACGCACCATCTGCTTGCTCATGACGTTAGGCCCATAGACCCGGCACAGCTGACGATGAATTTCGATCGGCGCTATGCTCTGTGCATTCAAAAACTTTATCACTGACCGCACTTCACAGTCGGCGGGAGCTGGAATAAGAACCTCCATCTTGAACAGCTGCAACGATGCAACTGTGAGAACGCGGGAAGTACCGTTAGTGCATGCGCCATGCTACGTCATTGCTCTATCACGTACGCACAGTCGCTTCGCTGTGGGACGAGTGGGAAACTTACTTTGTGGGTACCGTGGTCGTTTCTCAGGAGTATAGCGCGGCCGGGGCGTGACACTGACCATTCACCCTTATCTAGTGCCGAGGTTATGTATGAATAGCAGCTATACCTTCTCTCCCTTCAAGCGCCTACATGGCGAATAGTACTGGTAGCAGCAAGACAAGGTCCCTTCTTTTACACATACAAACTTCTCCTGTAGACTATGTGATAGAGCAGAGTAGAACTGATTTACAATCCACAGATTTCTTAGGACTAAACCAAAGGATGTATTCCATAAATTTCTTAGGACTAAACCAAAGGATGTAGAACATGTCATTTCATACAATATACTTAAACTTCAGAACTCCATACAGCCTCTGTGATCGAAACCATATACTAAGTTGCAAATTGTGAACAGAAACTGTGAGTAAAATAAGCAAAGGAATCTGAAACGTGCACATTTTATCATTTATGTTTCTACGCCATGATCACAGAATACGTCCATTAGTATTGTCTGGTGAGCACGGTTACCAACGAACTTATATAACACCAACATGCCAATCATCGCACTGGGAGAAATTTGTTGGTATGTAAATATGGTTGGTGTGGTTTGTGGTTGTTACTATCAGAAAGAAGACCCTAACTTCGTATAAAGCGGCTTAATGTGATGCCTTACACTAGAACTGAAACGTCATATATAGTTACCTTCAAAATATATAAATATATATTTGTTATTAATGGTACGTAAGGTATATTTAATTGTAGTTTAAATCATACTTAACTTTTAGGTTAGGTTAGTTTGAAACATGAAGCGTTTGTGAATTATTGTTTGAACGCAGTTTTTTTTGCAGAAGGTTTTTAGTTTCTAATTTGCTCGATTGTGCTTCGCCTTGATGAGTTAAATCCAAGGATGGGCGAGGAAAAACTTGTCACAGAGGTTCCAAGTAGTCTCAAGCAGCTTGCTCGTCTCGTTGTTCGAGGATTTTATACTATTGAAGATGCGTTGATTGTTGATATGCTGGTTCGAAATCCATGTGAGTACACCTGCGGAGTATCAGTTTTACTAGAATATTTTACTCAAGCGTTAGGAAGTAACTCGAAATATTAATCCCCTTCCCCCAAAACTACCTTGCATGTTGATTGTTTTTACATTGCAACCCTTTTTTTAAAAAAGTAAAAAGCTATGATGACAAAGTTAGTAATGGTGAATTGAGAATTTCTTGGATTTGTAGGGTAGGAACGTGTACTCTATGAACAGGTTGGCATGAGAGTTGCTTTTCTAGATACCACTCAGTCTGTCCAACTGAGTTAAGGTTGCATGAGCAGGCATTCTACTGACTGTCAATAAAATGTGTGTAGAGTATGCAGTTATTAATAATGATTTTCCTCTCCTTGTGCTGATGTTATCCATTTGCTGACAATATAGATACAAATCATAGTTCTTATAAAATCAAGATTGGAGAAGTGTAGTGTTTGGAGTACACTGATATTCCAAAAGGCTATTGTTGTGCAGCACTGTGGTCCAGTGAAGCAAGCATCCTGAGTAAGGACCTGGGTGGTAGAGCCCCAGGGACTAAATAATCATAAATATTCCAGGGGTGCAGCCCATAGAAGTGGCCAAGGCTTGTATTGCATCTCTTAAATCACTGGTTTTGACAGGTTTATTATGCTTTACTCAAGCCCATAAAGCCTGGAGTAGCATCACACCATATGCTTTTTTCCTTCCCATTCCTAACCTGTTATACTCAGGCACACTGTTATGTGTTCTGTACTGGAAGCTTAACTGTAAAAAGATGACTTTCACATTTATGCTGCTTTTTACTTTTCTTATCTTTCAGGTATGAAAGAGGATGACATATGTGAACTTCTGAAATTTGAACGAAAAATGTTAAGAGCTCGCATATCAACTTTACGCAATGACAAATTCATACAAGTACGGCTTAAAATGGAAACTGGCTTAGATGGTAAAGCTCAAAAAGTGAATTATTATTTCATTAATTACAAGGTAGGAAAACATAATAGACTCAAATGTAGTAAAAAAAACTGCTCATGCATTTTTTATGAAATTTGTTATCATACCTCAAATTTTAGTTTGTAATTTTGTTACTACATTGCATTTTTCAGACATTTGTAAATGTTGTCAAGTACAAGTTAGATCTCATGAGAAAGAGAATGGAGACTGAAGAACGTGATGCAACCAGCAGGGCCAGTTTCAAGTGTCCATCGTGCTGCAAAACATTTACAGATCTTGAGGTGATACTTTTAAATTTATTTCTGCTTTGTCTTTGTTCTTATATGAAGATTAGATGTGTTTATAATGTAACTGTTATTTTATAATCACCTGTGTTCTGTTCCTATGACAGTAAGAGGAAGATGGAATTTACGTTGGATTTGAGGTTTTAACAGCTGTGAGTCTGAATATAGCTGTCTTCTGCATTGTAGCACTGTGTAGTCTGGTAGAAGATTACCAATGTTTCAGAGACCCTTGCTGCCTCCATGAACAAGGAAAATCATAACCCTGATGATGGAGGCAGCAAGGGTCTCTGAAATGTTGGTAAATTTCTGCCAGACTACACAGCACTACAACCCAGCTATCTTAAGATTGAATTAGTTACTTTAATCTAACTTTTATAGGCTGATCAGTTATTTGACATTGCAACACAAGAGTTCCATTGCACATTCTGTCGAGAAGTTGTAGAAGAGGACCAGTCAGCTTTACCTAAGAAGGACTCTAGACTTTTGCTAGCCAAATTTAATGAACAGCTTGAACCATTGTATATATTGCTCAGGGAAGTTGAAGGCATCAAACTGGCACCAGAAATTCTTGAACCAGAGCCTGTTGACATCAGCACAATAAGAGGGTTTGTGATATGATCTTTAATTTTGTAGTGTGTTAGAAAACTGTAAAAACACATCTTATAGTCCATCTTGGCTTTTAGTGTATAAAGATAAATATGTGTTAACTTTCTTTATATGAGCCGGGATAGCTCAGTCAGTATAGTGACTAGCTACGGGCTGGACGACCGGGGTTCGATCCCCGACGGGGGCAGAGGGTTTTTCCTCTAGCCTCTGCGTCCAGACCGGCTCTGGGGCCCACCCCGCCCCCCCC